CGCGTTGGTCGCATCCTTGTGGATAGCAACCACAGCTTTCCAAGGTTATCAAGTCGTCCACAAGTCTGATTGCATTGCAGTTCTTGCAGTCGCCGAAGACGGCCGCGGCACGTCTGAGGGCACGGTTGCTGGTGCTTTGCGGGCGATCCGGGTTTTTGCGTGCGCCCTGGCTCGCCAGCCACCCCAGTTCGAGCATGTGTCCGGTCATTCGGGTCTTATAGGAAACGAGCTTGCCGATGCTGCTGCGAGGCTTGCAGCACGCGGGGATTGCCTCGGTCTTCTTCCTTGGACGGGGCAACTTCACAATGCCTTCAGTTGGTGGCAGCCTGATTTCCGCCTGGTCCAATGGGCTGGTATAGTGTGCCGTGCAGAGATGGGGTGTCATGCCTTACCTACCGCCCCGGAAGCAATCAACCGTGCTGCCCTGCCAACAAACGAACTCACACCAGCTGAAGCTGTGGATCCTTTCCTCCCTCCGGGGTCCGTTGACCAAAACACCACGCCAAGCCCTGTTAGTGCTTGCCTTTCTCTACGTCTGATCTCGTATAATGTACTGTCTTTGAATGTGGCGCTGCTTTCGCTGATGGCGCTGGACAGGGCATTGCTTTCGCTGCCGGTAGACCTGCTATGCTGGCGCAGGCATTAAGCGCGAACAACATTGGAGTTGCTTTTCTTCAGGAGGCGCGCACGCAGGAGGGATTCCTACACACTGCTGAATACTTGCGCTTCTGCTCTGGAACAGAGCATGGTCATCTGGGGGTTGAAATTTGGCTCCGATGCAATCTTGCCCTGGTCACACGAGGTGATGTTAAACTAGTATGCATCTGTCGCGAAGCGTGCTCTGTGCTGGCCAGTGACCCCCGAAGGTTGGTCGTTCATCTTCGGCAGGATGACATTCGACTTCACTTGGTATGTTTGCATGCCCCCCACCGGGGTCACCCCGATGATGTCCTTCGTGCCTGGTGGCAGGACACGATTCGCCTCTGTGGCCGGCTGGCTAAGACAGCTCCAATCCTTCTAGGTGGTGATTTGAATGCCTGTGTCGGCGGTCACCCTGACAGTGCTATCAGCGATGCGTGGGCTGAGCCGACGGACTTTGCTGGTACCTTTGTACATGAGTTGGCTGCCACCGGCCAAATTTGGCTCCCTGCAACCTGGGAGGAGCACCAGTGTGGCGAAGGCTGGACTTTTTTCCAGAAGCGTAACTCAGCAGCAACACGACCAGACTTTCTTGCCTTGCCTTCAGTCTGGAGAGATGCGCAGGTCAGTACGTGGGTTGCGCCTGGGATCAATGCTGGCCAAGCCTGTCTGGATCACCTCGCTACTGCTGGCAGTGTTACGGCCACCATCCTGAGCCATGCAGAGGAGAAGAGGCCACGACCTAAAAGGATCGACGTCACCGCTTTGCGGCTGCCCGCGAATAGACACAAGCTTTGCAGTGTTTTCGCCCGTCTCCCTGTTATTCCCTGGCAAACGTCAGCTGATTCCCACGCAGCTGAGCTTATAAAGTGCCTGCATACTGCACTTGTGGAGGAATTTCCTCTACCCAAAGCAGCCCCCCGTCGCAGCTATCTCTCAAAGGCTGCTTGGATGCTACACCAGCAAGTTGCCCTTTTAAGGCATCAGTGTGCCCGCTTACGTGGGGCTGTGCGTCGTCACTCCCTGGCTGCGTTCTTCACCATTTGGCGTGGGCTGGCGTCTGCGCTGCCGTCCTCTTTCGTGTGGGCTAAACAAGCTGCTTACATCGGAACCATCCGTAGCGAGCAGCTCCGAGTTGCCTCTATCGCACTTCGACAGCAATGCCGTGACGATAGGGCGGCGCACCTTGAGCAACTTGCTGATGCTGTTCAGGCCAACCGTGTTGACGGCGCCCAAGCACTGCAGCTTCTCCTCAAGCAAAAACACAAAAAGCCATTTGCCCCTGCTGTTCTTCCCCGGCTAAAAAAGCTGGACGGCTCTCTTTGCCAATCGGGTTCCGAGATCACCGACCGCTGGAGGCAGCATTTTGGGGATATGGAAGCGGGCATCGTGTGCCAACCTACCAATCTTGCTGGTACGGAAGACCCCCCCGCTTGGCCGTTACCACCCAGCCTGTACGACCTCCCTACGCCGGGAGAACTGATGCAGGCGTTGGCCGGATCCAAAGGGGGCAAGGCCCCAGGCCCGGACCACATCCCGGGCGAGGCCCTCGCCGGGGCACCATCTGCCTTGCTCATGCACATTCTGCCACTCCTTCTGAAACTGTGCTTGAAGGGCACGGAGGCCATTGGCATGCAGGGTGCAACCCTCTGCACCCTCTACAAACAGCGGGGAGCGCGCGAGGATTGCAACTCTTACCGCGCCATAATGCTACTTCCCACTGTAGCTAAGGCCATACATCGATCACTTCGCCCGAAACTCTACAACCACTTGGATGCGACGGCTCCGCCGACACTTCTGGGCGGCCGTCGCGGGGCTTCTGTCGTTTTCGGAGGACACTTGGTGCGGGGATTTTGCCGGTGGCAACTGCACTCCAAATCCTCCTTCGCCGTGATCTTCGCTGACGTCGCCTCAGCCTACTATAGCTCGATCCGTGAGCTCACGGCACGTCGACCAGCCTGCCGACAAAATCCTGGATGCCCGAATTTCTTGCTTGACGGCCTGCGGCATCAGCTCAGCCAACCGAGTGTGTTACAGCAAGGGGGAGCGAGCCCATGGCTCGAGGGCGTCGTTGCAGAACTGCATCGGAGGACTTGGTTCACTATCGCTGGGGATCGAGTCCCGGTTCAGACCCATCGAGGCTCACGTCCTGGGTCGACATTTGCCGACTTGATGTTTGGTGCGGGGGTTTCGGCCATCCTTGACCTCAAAGAGTCATTGCGTGCCCAAACTCCCGGCGCCGTCGCTAGACCGTGCATCCCGTGGGATGGCCTTCGGGACCTAAGTCCTGTTGGTGAACCCAATACCACTGTCTCCCTGGGTGATGTCGTCTGGGCTGACGACGTTGCTGAATGTGTGGTCTCAGAGGCTGCCGAGGAGATTGCAGCACAGGTTGCGGTTACCACGTCCAATTTTGCAGAGGCTTTTGCCAGCTTTGGATACACCCTGACCTTTGGGGTGACTAAGACGGCTGCGTTGGTCCGGGTGTCAGGAGCTGGGGCCAAGCGTGCTCGGTCACGACTCTTTGGGAAGGGGGCTTCCCTCCCAATCCTCCTGGAGGATGCGCCCACAGCACGACTACCTGTCGTCGCATCATACAAGCATCTGGGAGTCATGCAGACTCCGACGACGTCTCTCCTTCTTGAAGTCCGCCACAGATGCGGCAATGCTTGGCAGGCCTTTCGTCAGGGGCGTAAGGCGGTGTACCGCAATAAAAAGATTTCCCTTTCCCGGCGCGGTATCCTGCTTACCTCAGCTGTTTTCACGCGATTGTTCTATGGTGCAGGGTCTTGGCCTACCCTCCGGGTTGGGGAGGAACAGGCCCTCAATGGTGCCATGCTGGGGATCATGAGACAAACTTTGTGCATCCCCTTTGACGGGGACCAACATGTTTGCCGCGCTGAGACCTGTGCCCTGCTGGGGGTCGCTGACCCGGTTACCTCACTTCGGGTCGAACGTCTGCGATATCTGCGCCAGCTTGTCGCAGCTGCACCTGATGCTCTTTGGGCGCTAACACGCCTTGATACCGCTTTGCTCGACGCCTACCGAGACGCCTTCGGGTGGCTGTTTGCCCTCCTCCGGAATACCATCCCCATGCCTGATCCTCTTCTTGACTGGGAACCCTGGCGCCAAGTCATGACGGAAAGGCCAGGCCGTTTTCGAGGTTGGATTAAACGCGCCAAGCGTTTGGCAGTTCTTCGTCTTACTTGTGGGGCTGCTATCTATGCCCTTGCCAAAGCGATTCAAATGGCAGGGGCTGCACGCACCCCAGACACCACTCGAGACGGGGATACCTGCTTCACGGAGGCATGCCTGCCTTGCCGCATTGCTTTCGGTACAAGGTCGGCCTGGGCATGTCATGCCAGTAAGCTGCATGGATACAGAACTCGAGCCACTTTGATTACAGCCGGTGCTAGTGGGTTTTGGTGCCGCGCATGCGGTAAGGTTTATGCCAATGCTGGGAGACTCCGGCGACATGTCGCCTTTTCTAGCGAGTGCCAAAACCAATGGGGGAGTTTCCAGGCGCATGGAGACCCTGACTCACTTGCCCCACACCCGTCCGCCCCTCCTCTGCAGCTTGAAGGGGTCCAGGGTCTCGTTTGTCCTGCGTCGCCTCCACAGGACGTCCATATGGGCCTTCTTTCGGCGCTTCTGGACTTGGACAATCCGGACGAGACTGCCACCTGGGATACGGTTGTTGAGTTCATTGCGCCTTTGGCGCACCTGCGTGCCACGCTTTGGGCTTGGGCCGCCCATGCCCGGGCCCAGCCGGCAGCACATGAACTCGCATCCAACGTTGTGCTCCTTTTGGACCCTGAGCTTTGCTGTGATGACTTTATAGGCATCGCAAGAGTGCGTTGAAAGGTTTGGACTTCCTGCCGGTTCTGGATACCCCTGCTGAGGTTGCCTTCCCTTTCATCCTCTCTGGCCCTGTCTTCACTCTGCGATTGGACTTGCCGCCTTTGCCTGAGTACCGGTACCCTTTCCAGTGTAGCGTACCACTTGCGGCCGCTGAGCGTCATGCAAAGTGGTTTGAAGCTGCATGTGATACTGTAGGCGCCTTTGTGCAGCAATCGCAGTGCGCACCAGTAAAGCTTGTGGCGAGCTCGGCAGCTCTCGCTTGCCTTGAGCCGGCCACCTCGTGGCTACTGCTAGGTGGTTTCGAGCGATGTCCAAACGGGCTATGCTCGCCCCTTCAGTGAGCCCTTCTCGTTTCACCTTTTTGAATTCATTGTGCTAGGCGTGCGTCGTTATCGACTCAATCGCTCCGAAGAAGAAGATACATACATACATACATGCATACAGACACATATGCACAACGAGCCTTAACGAGTGTGGAGGGAACCAGGCTCTTAGCCAGCCTGTGTCAACCAGGGCCCGGAAATCGGGAAGTGCCCCGACCGGGTCGGGAAGCCTGAGGAGGAGAGTCGGTTCGTAAGGGTTTATGTAGGGCTTGGGGTTTGGGGTTCAGGGGTTCAGGGCTTCATGTTTACAGAGTTCAGGGTTTAAGGCTGAGGCTTTGGGCTTTAGGGAATAGGTGCCCTTGTTGCAGGTCCTTCTTCAGGCTAGGTTTAGGGTGTCCCCGACAGTCATAACCAAGCATTCATGGTCGGGACGGGCCGAACGATTCCCAACTCTTCAAGTTTTGCATAGCAAGAACTTGCTGCCTCAGCCTAAGCATCATGCACGGGCCTTGACTCAAAGCCAGAATAGGGCTGTTGAGAATACTATACTGCGATTTATAGTAAGGAACCCTTAGAAACAGTGTTGGTGTTTCGTCAAGCGTCAAAAACCGACTGGCCAAAGGTTCATGTTTGGTTTGAGTTTTATCCTCTTCGCGATTGCCATTCCCAAAGGGTTCAAAGGGCATTTTGGGGGTCTATAAGTATATACAATGATGATAGTTGGACCCTTAGGGTTTGGACCCCAATAGCAGGACCTCTTCGCACTACCCAGCACTCGAAAGGAAACCCGGAAGTTTTGAAATCCCCACCCCAGACGCTAATCCGCCGCAGACCCGTATAAGAACCCTTGGAAAACGCTGTACCTAGGCCCCCCAGAGTCGGTAAAATAAAGGCCCAAAACCTATAAAAGGCGAGTAGTTTACCAACTTTGGAGGTCCAGGTAGCCCCTACCGAAATACGTCTTTCAAGAACGCCCATCAGTACCTTCTCTGCAGACCCGAGGAACTGCTGCATTGCCGGAGCCAATGCAAAGTCCACAGACTCTTCCGGCGCATTCTGGCATCCAATCCAGCCTAAAGGCTTCTGAAATTGCTTTTTCTTATGGTTTTTGAGTACCCTTTCTAGACTCAAAGGCACAAAGTCTTTCGGGGTCAAGCGTTCGGGCTTGAGGATCCCATGGAGGCTCTAGAAGGCTTTAGGCCTCAGTCTTGACGAACTCCCGCTAAAGGCCATGCACAGCCGGTGTAAAGGCTTTGGGTTTCGGGATCTGACTCGAGGCAGACGAACCTATCAAGCTAATATACAGTAAGAGATTAGAAGACTACAGGGAGAAATAGAGATAGAGGCACAGTGAGAGATAGAGAGGGCGAGACACAGATGGCTTGATGGATGGAGGAACAGGGCGGGGCGGATGAATTGACGGACGAAGTGACAGATAATTCGATAAACCCAGTCCAGTTCGTCGGATAGTTAGCTAGCTAGCTATATAGGTAATTAGTGGGTTACTCGTTGTTAGTTACTTGGTCAGCGAGCAAGATGAGTTAAATACTTCGGAACGTCGACAGTAAGCTAGATACCTAGGTAAACCGATCTAAAGACAGATCGACAGGGAGGTATGTGGGTAGGTAGTAAGGTAGGTCGGCGGCAGCCAGGTGGGAAGGAACATAGGTAGGTCGGCAGGAAGCTAGGTAGGCAGGCAGGTAGGTACATAGGTAGATCGACACATCGATAGATGGTTAGGTCGATCGTTAGAGCGACAGTTAGCTTGAAGATAGACCGATAGGTCGATCAATAGATGGATAGATGGAAAGACACGCGAACATGCAGGCACCTATGATAGTGATGGCTTCCGATGGCTTTCGCTAACTGATTGCAGGGTTGGCAAAGCTTCTGAAGCAGCAACGACCTCAAGACACAGAACTAGTGACCCGAAAAAGGCTCACCGAGCAGAAAGATCCGAACACCAAGCTCTTTGTGACCATACGACTGTAAAGTTGGACCCCCGTGACGCGAGTTTCACACACCTACATTTCGCCGACAGTCTTTTCTGAGCACTGAGTCGGAACCAGAGCGATAGCCTTGACATCCACACCTCTACACTACCAGAGAAGCCTGCAAACTTGGGCCGGAGATATGAGATGATGATGATGTCGTTGATGATGATCTACACGTACATATACTATATATATATATATATATACACATACGTATGTAAATACATATATATATATATATATGTATACAGAGAGTTATGTATTTACATCTATCTTGAAGATGCGAAAACGAATATTCGCGGGTTCCATATTGCTGTTGAGAAAACCTGTAAGACATATTCTTACCGATAACTCAGGCATCTGAACTCCCCAGCGCCCCCTCCCCCCACGCAGCAGAGGGAGATATTTCAGGCAGGAGTCGCTCACGAGCCACATGCGCGCAGGCCTCCTGGTGTCAAGCATTACGATTTAGGGTTTTGTACTTGGAGGTTCATGGGTAGTTATAAGTAGGGTTATAGTTATAGGGGTAACTCTATATATAACTCATGTTAGGGGACCTATAATTACCCCTACTTATAACTCCAGGTAGGGTTTGGGGTGTGGGGTTTGAAGGTTGCAGAGGGTCCGTTATTTGGACGTTGCTTGAGGGGATGCAGAAGCCTCAGGTTGGTGTAATTTGTGGTTTCAGTCTCCGAGACGAGAGTTCGAATGACGAAACAACTAACGAAGACTACTTGGAGGATCATGGGACTTAGTAAGTAGGGTTATAAGTACCTTAATTGGGGTTCTAAGTAGTTATAAGTATAGTTACCCTAGTTATAACCCCAGTTACTAAGTCCCATAATAATTTAAGTACTTGTTCATTATGGCACCTGAAGCCGCCGCAGTGCCTCCCAAGCCCGAATCTCCAAAAAAGACAGACCCGAAGGCCCCGAGCCCCAAAGCCATGAACCCTGGAAGCTCATCCAGCATTACCCAAATCGAAAGACAAAAGAACAGAAGTTCTAAACTCCGACATATGACACCTGCCATTTGGCCCAACCGCCTACAAAGGCAAAGAAGCCGACTGGAAATCCTCAAACCTCAGCAGAGATGGCGTAGAACAACATTCAGCATGGTAGTATCGATACTAGCTAAATACACGTATGGAAGATACGAGCGGTAGCAGTATAGACACATCACAGTACAACCCCGACCACGACAGCGACGACGACTACTGTTGCTATTGCTCTTGCTGCCGCTATACTGCTACTGCCACTACTTCGGCTACTACGACGTCGACGCTACTGGTACCAAAGCTAATAAATCTCAGACGAGTGCTGACGGTTGCACATCTCTCCTAAACCCTAAACCCCCAAACCGTAAACCTACTCAAATTAAAGAATCATGGGACTTAGTATCTAGGGTTATAATTAGGTAATCATTTATAGCCCCAATTCAGGTACTTATAACCTTAATTACTAAGCCCCATGATCCTCCAAGTATGCTCCGTTCGGGCGCCTTGGCGCTTTCCTTCCTCTGGAGTTCGGCGGCATCGACCACCTCGACACGGCGGGGAGCCTCTTAGGGTGAATTACCTATACTATCTTGGGGGCTCCTTTTCATAATCATAGTATAATATACCCCAAAACCCTATTCTAATTCTTAAGGTTCAGGAGAGTGGGGAGTTTAGGGTGTACCAAGAGGCTCCATAGTCGTTCCTTTTTGGGGGTTCATATATTTAGAAGCCTCTAAGGTAATCCTGAAAAGGAGCTACTACGGAGTTTAGGGTTTAGGTGCTAGGGCCTGGTGGTTAATAGGGTTTGCCGTGGAATAGCGCGTAGGTGGCTGTATCTGAAAGAAGAATTTTTGATTTTACTGTCCCACCCCGAGGCGGCCAGCCACCCGAACCTATTCCTTCGAGGTTTGGAGGCTAAACTCACGTCAGTTTTCCTCCTTCCAAAATGCCAAAAAGGGCCAAGCCCGCAAAAGCTTACAGCACTGACACTATCAGGGACCAGTATAACTGGTGCCGGGGAGAACGTGTTCCGGAGGTACGACGTCCGGTCCCCATGGTTCTGTTTTGCGCGATCGGTTGCGAGGGGCTTATGCATCACCCACCCACGGTAGGTGGGCGACCTATGCCTTGAGTTTAGTGCTTTTTAAGGGGGGGTTGGGGTTAGCATCCACAGTAAAGGGTTGATGGTTTTGCGATAGCGGTTGATGTCTTCCCAGATAGCCGGGTTCACGATCGAGGGGTTTTGTGGTTGCTTCGCGGTTGCGGGTCTATTTGGGCTTAGGGTTTCGGTTTCAAGTTCGGCTCACTGTTTCGGTTGGGGGGTTGTCCGGTCACTACGAGTCTAGGGGGTAGGGGTAGCCTGTAATCTGTACGGAGACTACCTCTGCAGTCAATTTTCACGGTCGTGTCGTGGATGTTCCGTAAAGGGCTCAATGACATGTAGGGATCATGACAGCCTCAAGCTTAAACCCCCTATACCCCTTCAGAAACCCTTACAGTGCCTTCTTGAGAGCCCATGTAAAAATTCTAAACGCCCTATCCTGAACTCTAAGTCCGAAACCCTAAACCCTAAACCCCCCTAATACTGAACCCTTAACCCCCTAAACCCCCTAAGCCCTAAACCTAAAGTCCTAAACCCTAAGCCCTAAACCCCTATTACCTTGAAGGACCTAGCGCACCTGCGGTCTGTCCGGCAGCCAGTCCGGATCGGCTCGGCAGATCTGTGCAGGAAAGACCCAGCAGTGGACTTGAGCACCTCGGATGTGAGTTCATATGGGAGTTTCCGAAAATAGGGGTGCAGTATTTTGCGGTCCTTATAATCAGGATCCTACTATCTAGAGTACTTTATTAGGGTCCCCTATTTTCGGAAACTCCCATATGGTTAGAAAAGGGTTTAGGATCTATACGGTTTAGGGATAGAGGCGTTTTGAGGGTTAGAATAGGGTTTCGGGTTCAGGTATAGAGGCTCAACTAAGGGCTGAACCTGGGTTTTGGTACATGTCTTGTATAGCTTAAAGGGGGAATACGGGAATACTCCTACCATGGATTCCGCGGCAGCCCGACAATTAATTATGCCTGCCATGGCATGTGTAACCTACTTCGACGATGGTAGTAATACCGGACCATGCTGTTCGCCAGTTCTTTGCATGCTCTCAAGAATGTTGCTTAACCTGCGGCTCTTAAATCCAATAAGGGTAGATTGCTTGGGTCATTGGGTGAAATGTTCCGCCCCTCCAAATAATACGTTTCTTGACACGTCCTTCAATCCCAAGGCCGGCACACCATCTCAGGGTTCAGGGGATCAGCCCACTTTGATCCGTTGCTTTACGTCTCTCTAGCCTACGCAGCGCAGGACTTTGTCCATCAGCAGCATGTCTTTCGGGTCAGCATGAGTCACCCATGAGTGCTGCCACAGCACTGATGCCGGGAAGGACCGCTACATGGAGTACATGCGACGATCGCATTCAACAGTTGCTACACTTGTTGTGTGGCGAAACAGTGTTGTTGGAGAGATACATGTATGATGGCACCCAGCCCACCCAACAACGAATCAATATGATCCTTGGACATACAGGCGCATGATTAGGATAGGTTTCAAGCAATTTGGCTGTGAAAATAGCTGAATCATTTCAGAGTCAAGCAAGTCATGCAGCTGGACGATGCTTAGCGTTCAAAAGTTGTCCCCACCCGAAGTGTTTCCCTTCTTTCCCTCTCTCGGCGTTGGCGTACGAATCGGCATCTCTTTCTTTGAAGCAGCTTTTTGAATGGGACCGTCAAACGCTTGTCTGCACATCTTGTATCTGACTGAGCACGGTAAACAAGTTTGTGTTGGCTACCGCGTGCTGCGGGCTTTAGGTGTCCAGGACAAGGTAGCGTTAGGCCGCTACTTGGAGGATCATGGGACTTATTGTAAGTAAAGTTATAAGTACCTTAATTGGGGTTGTAAGTAGTTATAAGTAGAGTTACCCTAATCATAGCCCTATTACTAAGTCCCATGATCATTTAAGTAGGCTGGTGCGAGCATCCTTTTTCAGCAACGCGATGTGGCGCAGCACCCAGACTCTCAAGGATGCCTGTAGAAGATGGGTGTAACTTCGGATGGCCTACGGTAACCACGGTTAGTGCTGTTAGGCTTGCGGAGTTCACCGCAAGAGCCCTATCTCTAAACCCTAATTAAGCCCCTAAACCCTTAACCCTTAAACCCTAAACCCCTGAACCCTAAACCTTAAGCCCTAAATCCCGAACAGGTTTTGAGAGTCTGGGTCGTCTTTGGCTGCTCGATTTCCGCTCGGAGCGTGTCGTGTTGACATTCGAAGCTCCCTCATCCATGAACTACAGGGCACCCTGCACAGTGGTCGGGAAACCCTAAACCCTGCACGTTAAAGGGGAAATCCACCTCTGGAAACTCGTGGCTCGGGAAGCTTTTTTTGGTTCATGGGACGGTCATCTCCAAAAGGGATCCTACTAAGCAGGTCTCTGTGGCTGTTCCAGTCCAACCTCTGGCTCAAACTTTTGGGGGTCTGCTTCCATAAAGACCACCGTTCTGGGTGCCCTAAACAGTCTAAACCGGGCCACTCCGCTTACAAGCGACGACGTTCAACGGATCCTCCTCAAAGGGTAGCACCGTAGCGAGGGCACCTGGCATCATCTGGCTTCACAGCGTGTTTCATGGTTGAGGGTCTCAGAAATCTGCTGAAGGTTTAGCTCATTTCCGGGCTTCGTGGCTCATAAGTATCCAAACCCGGATATAAAGCTTCGGGTTTAGGGTCACCCTCTGAACACTGGTGTTCAACTCGTTCCAACCTAACCGCAAACTCAGAGCCTCAAATCTCACCCTCAAGCACTAAACACGAACCAGGCCACCGCAATCCGTGTTAAGCCCGAATCACATCCTCGACCTACAGTCTCCATTGAAGTTCCTTCGTTTAGTTTAACCAATTTTATATTAAGGATCCAAAAAAGGTAACCCCAAAAAGGAACTACAATGGAGACTATAAGGAGGTAATGAACCTCTCAGCTCTTATCCTCAAGAGCTCTGGCAAGAGCCCCAACTTACTTAGCGCCCGAAAGGGAATTTTTAGGGTTTAGGGTTTTGGGTTTAGGTCACGTACCCAACAATCGTCTACTCCCGAAAATGCCTGCTGCAAAGCTACGAATTACTCCAAACCCAATTACGCAGTCATTGTTTGGGCCTTTAGGGCAAGCTCCGATCCCGAAACCGGTTCGAACCCGTCAACTAGCCCCTGAAAGTCCCTTGCAAGACAAGACGCACATTCCCTAAGGGTCCATGTACCCAAATAGTATATACTTTGGCCCTAATGTACAGATACCGGGACGACGTTAAGGCCAATGTATATACTATACAGATCCCTAAACCCTAAACCCTTTTTGACCTGGATCGGCTCCGGCAGCGTACTCTGGCTTCAGCTTCGCGGAGACAACACTCCCCGCCTCAATGGTGTACGGTAAACCCCATAAAGTTGGAAACCGGATTAAGGCCAAATAGTGCTGGGATTCCCTTTAAATTGCTCTTATGGATCGAGGCTATTGGGTTTCCAACATTTGGGCTTCTACTTGTAATGGTTCCTTAACGGGTTCATTTCTAGAGTTCCGTAAACGGTTGCACAAGGCTTACTTTAAGGGCCATGATTTGGGAGGCTTCCATAGGTAGGGTTTTGGCGCAGTAGAACCATCGTGCTTTTCATGCACTAGGCGGGCCTGAATACTTAGACTAGGCTCTAAAGGTGTGTCGCAATTGGCAATAATCGCAATAATATATAATATTGGTAAGATTTAGGCTGCAGGTAGCCTGAATATCTAGAATCAGCTCGTTGGCACATGTCATAGACTAGTTGTCTAGAGACGAAGAGAGGGTATCGTTGTTGCTCAATAGCAAGCTTCAAGGTCAAGGGCCTACGTGTGGCGTTCAGGACTTCCAATTTAGAGTTTAGGTTACAAGGTGGATGAGGTGGGGTTTCGGGTTTAGGGTTTGGGGCTAGGATTTCGGGTTAAGTGGCTGAGCAGGCACTTGGGAAAGCTTATGCCTTCAACGCAGGTCGACGCCCTCAAGTAGGGTTCATCAAAGTAAGTTGCACTGCAGCATTCCAGGTGTATGGAATTGGCTCAATGATTTAGGCATTGTGGCTGGGCTTGGGGAGCTCTATCGTCCATCCCGGACTCGAACACACGCTTGATGGGATTGAGCCTAAGTGATCTCTAAGTCTAATACTAAGAGCTTGAATAGTTGGATCCCCAGTTAATCTTAATGAAGCCCTAAACTCCAAACCCTAAAACAAACTCCGTATTGCAGAGCGGAAGGCTGTCGGGCTTGTCATGGGAGTGTTCTTGCTACAAAAGAACATGCTCATCATTGTTTGAGGTATTTAATTACAGGGCCAAGGCTGAATATAATTCAGAATGTTCGGTTTCTGAAGCCCTAAACCCTAAACCATAAACCCAGAATGGCGCAGAGCCTACGCGATGGGCCTGCTGGCGGAGCACTACGAAGCCAACATGCAACTCAGATCCTAAATCCCACCTGCGAGACCTATGCCTAGACCCCGAAGCCCCTTTCCACCCAAAAACAACAGTCAACGCACCCACCGTCTTTTTTCCATCGCCCAAGCAATGGTGCATGCTTTGGCCTTGGTTGGCGTGCTCCAAGCAAAGTGGCCGGCCGGATTACTTCGATGTGTCAATGGCTGAGCTGGGTTGTTCTTCCGAAGCCGCAGCCTAGGTTTCAGCACAAGTTTGTGGGCCTGCACAATTTCTCGGGGTGTATTGTAAGATAGCTATGAAAATGAAGGAACTCTACGGGATAGCATTGCTCGATATTTGGTTTCCCCCTTTCCGTCGCAGTTCTTGTAATTAACACATGGAAACACCTCAAACACCATCAGACACAGCCGTTCTCCACATCTCAGGACGAATGAACTCTAGTACAGTCCTGAGCGATCGAAACCACGATCATCCGGAACAGCGCCTGGGGACTAATCTCTTGCTGCTGCTGCTTCTGTAAGGGCTACCTCTGCCAGTGGTGGTAGTGGTATTAGTAGTAATTACTACGAGTACCTGTGGGGTAGTGTGGTGCTGGTGGTCGTGGTGGTGGTGGAGGCGAGGAAGACGTCAGTGGTAAACATGGTATTGTTCAGGCTGCTGTACTACGATATTTGGTACTACGCTCTATTTACTAACTAACGCGCTTTGCTGGTAGAATTCCTCGGTGATAGTGTTCCAGATGATTTAAGCTTCAATTGTCAAGATGGAACCAAAGTGATCGGCTTTGGTCGCTCTGACCCTTCCCTGCTTCGGAGAAAGGTCCCCTGCCAGAATTCTCTGATTCTCAGAGGTCATGGCAGCTAGGCAGAAAGCCCAAGGGTCCAAAGGAACCAATAATCAGGTACTCGGTGTTAGGATAGTAGCTATGTAGGTTAGGATTTCGGAGAGTATAAGACTATTGGGCACTTGGACCCTTGGGGAAAGAGGGCTCAGACGAACCCAAGCTTAAACAAGATGCTTGGGTCCCCACATGTTTGATGCAAGCAATCAAACTCTAACCCGATTGGCTTCGCACTGGAGGTTGCCTAAGGCCTAAGGTTCATGGGGTGCTTTAAGCTATAAGTTTGGCCAAAAAACATTTACTTATACCCCCTAAACCCTAAACCCTATAAACCCTAAACCCTGGATCTATAGATGCCGTGCTTACATGTGCAAGACCACCCCCGCGCCCCCGACATCCAATCAACGCAACACCCGAAGCTTGATGAAACCCTGAAAGTTCCTTCGGTGGTCCTGTGGTTGATGATATAAACCCTGCATTTCCCATAATAAGGAATATACCATAATTCCCATAGATTAAAGTCCTTAAGGTAATCCAGTATTTATATCATTCCGGTGAACCTACTTGGAGGTTCATGGGTAGTTATAAGTGGGTTATGCGACTGTATGTGAGGGGAGAGACGGGTGTAGGAACCCTAATCCTAATTAAGCCCTAAAGCGTACTTATAATATAGAAGCCTAAATATCTACCATTGATTTTCCTTAGGGCTGTTTGTTATAGTTATACTACAAAACGAGCCCCCAAAAAAAACAATTCTAATTATCAAAGCCCTTACTAGTAGACCTTACTAACCCTAAACCCTAAACCTTAAACCCTAAAACTAAACACTAAACCGTCAAAAACCAATGGGAGACCCCAGGCTGTCAATTCACATAGGGGTTGTCGACCAACTCCTTCAGCGACAGCGTCCTTAGAGTAGAAGCCCAAAAGTTGGAAACCGCATAGCCTCAATCCTTAAGAGTAATGTATAGGGAATCCCAGCACTCTTTGGCCTTGATCCGGTTTCCAACTTTATGGGGCTTCCTGTACGCCGGTGGGCTCTTCCGTTTTTTTGGCCGAACCGGTGTTACAATGGCCGGGTTGCGGACTTTGGTTGAGGGCGCTGGTGGGATCTTCGGTTTTTCT